ACGACGACGACGACGACGACGACGACGACGACGACGACGACGACGACCTACTCGCTACTCGCTACTCACTACTCACTACTCATACTACTACTCCTACTCCTACTACTACTACTACCACCACCACCTCGAACCTTGAACGTACTAGCGATGACCTCCAACCATGTCGCTTTGTGTAGTTTTTAGTTTTTGCGCGCACCACCAACCTGCCAGCGCTGGCCTCCGAACTTGGGGCGATGGCCTCCAACGTACTAGCGATGACCTCCAACCGTGTCACTTTGTGCGTTTCGAGTTCTTGCGCACGCCATCCCGTTTACCTTCGGAAAATTTTCCCCAAGCATTTTACTGTTAGGGGTTCTCATTTCTTTCTTAAGTCCGCCCTTTCTGTCACTGCTAGTGTCTGCCCTTTTCCGCTGGCCATGCAGCCTTCCTATCTATTCATGTGTCTCCCAGGTGATTTCTCTACTTTTGTCTCCCAGGTTCGCCCTTTTCCGCTGGCCATGCAGCATTTCTATTCATTTCTGTGCCAGGTGATTTCTTTACTTTTGTTTCCCAGGTTCGGTGCCTGCACTGCTGGTGTCCGCCCTTTTCCGCTGGCCATGCAACATTTCTATTCATTTGTCTCCCATGTGATTTCTTTACCTTTGTCTCCCCGGTTCGGTGCCTGCACTGCTGGTGTCCGCCCTTTTCCGCTGGCCACGCAGCATGTCTATTCATTTGTCTCCCATGTGATGAAATGGGATATCCAGCCTGGCCACCTGGCTGTCGCAAGTTCTGTCTTGAGTTTGTGTCTTGCAAACTGGTAGCGCTGGCCTCCAACCTGGCGCGATGGCCTCCAACGTACTAGCGATGACCTCCAACCGTGATGCTTGATGCAGTTTTGAGTCCTTATGCAACCCACCAACCTACTAGCGTTGGCCTCCAACCTTGGGGCGATGGCCTTTAACGTACTAGCGATGACCTCCAACCGTGTCGCTTTGTGCAGTTTTGAGTCCTTATGCATACCACCAACCTACTAGCGTTGGCCTCTAACCTTGGGGCGATGGCCTGTAACGTACTAGCGATGGCTTTGTGCGGCTTTGAGTTCTTGTGCATACCACCAACCTACTAGCGTGGGCCTCCAAACTTGGGGCGATGGCCTCCAACGTACTAGCGATGACCTCCAACAGTGTCACTTTGTGCGTTTCGAGTTCTTGTGCACGCCATCCTGTTTACCTCAGGAACTGTTTTAATCTCGGCCGCCGCGTGGCGAATGGCATTCCTTTTTCATACACCATATCTCGAGTGTGTGTGTGTGTAAAACGGCTTCCCAATTCTAAATTCCAAAAGCACTCCCTTTCGTCCTATATGATGTCAATACTTGTGCAACATGCGCCCTGTAGCCCCAAGTGAGCCTGATGCTCCTTTCCAAAGGACTGGAAGGCCCGGATTCCCACAACGCAGCCAACGACCACAACCTGGACAGCTTGGAACTATGTGGGTCCACTCATTAAGGACCCATCAAAACAAAGAAGTCTGGCACCATTTTGAATTAGATCTAGGGCACCTCATCCCCCTTACTGTCCGTTTTGAGGGTCGCTTTCATAGGTGTGTGGAATATCCATCACTGAGTTCTTCACGCTGGCAACGCTGGCAAAGCACATGAAGCTGAGAGCAGAAAGATTGCCTCATTCAGAATTTGGAAAGCAATCTGACGAAACTGAAGCAGGATGAGTCGGAGCAGGAGGAGGAGGAGGATGGATGAACCTGTAAACACATTGGACCAGGATCTGATAAAATCGCTTCTTTCGGCCCCAAACTCAGTGACTGATGCAAACCTCTCCGCTCATTTGCATCTTTGTTAAAGCAAGGAGAAATCAGGTGTTAGAGCTACTCCTCATGATCGAGGCGTGCTCCTGAAGTGCCACAGCAGTGCGTAACCAGTGGATGGAATGTCTGGCGACAGTGTATTCAAAGTAATCACACCAAACCTTCTAGGACCTGTCAATGGTTGTCTCCAATCTTGGTGAGTACATCTATATTTTTTTTTCGCGGGTGACGGAAAATATGCAAGCATCCAATGCTGCTGTTTTTTGGTACACACTTCTTCCCGCCCTCAAATCGCAGCCAAATTGCTCTTGTAGCACATCGGAGACAAGATCAGTGCAGCAATACACACAACCTTGACAATTTAAGCATTGTACAGAAGCCTTAAATCCTGCTCTATGGAACTTGACACGACACGCCAGCAGAGTAGCTGCTCATATCCTTTTTGTTGCGCAGTAGAAACTGCTAAGGGTCAAGAGCGTGATATTCTACTAGTCTTATTGTGAGAATGAGTCGTGTGGCATATAGTGTGATACTCACTGTATGACATGGTCTGTAAAGACCATGTTTTACTTTTTTCCCATACACACCTTATCATGTGTCTTTGTGCTTGGCTCCAAGCAATGCGTCGGATGGTCTCAGGACCCAATCCATGCAAGCTTGGCCTCAGCTCGATGTGCCCAAAATTCAAGCATGTCCATCCGGTCCATCCAGGCTGAAGAATACACATTCCGATTGGTCAGTAGGATCCGAGGAGAGCTGGAATGTGACAACTGGTAGTATGCCTTCCATATGAAGACCCGTCAGTTGGCAACAAACGAGCACCATGCACGATGAGCTCTGCAACCGGGACCTGAGTGCTGTCCGCGAACACAAACATTCTTACCCTCCAACGCAGGTGTCCTATCAGAAGCTCAAGATTTAAAAAAAATCACAAAAAGCTTCCTGTAGCCTTTTCCAATTTGACAACTTACTTGACAACTCCGCAGCTGGGACAGGAAATAAACCTGGGTGGGAGGAATAATTACTATTTTTGCTGAGTCGTGAAGCTCCCGTTTCAGTCTCACACCATGAGGTCTGTCAGGAGGACAAAATATGCAATTTTCGTAAGCCAGCAAATGAGGAACACCAATGCCTTGGCAATGGCAATCTGGTACAATCAGTGTGACGTCTTCTAATTCTCCGTGAAAGTCTTAGTCTTACAACCTGAATTTATGGCAACAACCAACATTGCTTCTGCCAGTTAAGGGTGCTGCGATAGTGGCCTGGCAGTAGCAGGTGCAAACTTGGGGCACATGACATGATTCAACTGGCAAAAGCAAGGAGTACAACAAATGTCCTTATGCTGACGCAAACCGTTGCTGGCAAATTGCTCAAACTGTTGAGTTTCGGTTTCCCTGCGAACCCAATCACATCATGACCCAATGACAAGGAAGGTGCAAGTGAGCACAACCACTGCGCCTTGCGACTCATTTCCCCATATGCAGCGTGGCCAACCAGCTCAAAGCTATCACGACCTGCAAAATTGTGCCTACATTCGCACTTGCAAAGTCTGCCTTCGCACAAAGTAGCCGTCTGGTCTAATGCAAATGCTTGAAAGGCTCATGATCAGAATACGTTTTCCCCTGCGCAACTCTGGGGATTCGGCCTGTGGCCCTGGCGCAATCCACCAACATCGAAAGCGTCCAAGCCTTATTCTGGAAGATTTGGACCAATCCCAAACCAGTGAAAAGAAATGGGAAGTCATTCCAACCACGAACGCACAAATGCCACAGTTTCGATGAAAAGTTTTGGCGGATTGTTTCCTCTGAGCATCACATGCACACGTTACAGCCTGTTCAAAGCCAGGACAAAATCAGCACTACATGCACAAACTGGGTCCTCCCACACTACCAACAGCAGACAGCAGAAGGCATCCTGTGCCCAGGACCAAACCGCACCTTAGCCAAAATCGATACTTCCTGTAGAGTTTCACGAATGCCAATCCGAAACATAGGACACAATGCGCTTTAAAAAATGTTGAAAACGATTTTTGTACTGACAAGTTCTGACCGCCTGTGTTCACCAGTGACTTTCGGGTCTGAACAATTTATATATGTGGAGCGACAGTGGAGTGTAAAAGGTAAAGAATCGTGGTCCGAAATCAAGATTATTCCACCACTGCGCAAACCACGAAATCTGCACTTCAAGGTCCACAAAGTGCTGCGCCTGCCACGAAATCTGGACATCACATCACGCAGCCCTGCCAAGGCGATTCGCAGCAAGAGCATTTCCAAAGACAGCATCAAAAACAAGCAAACCGCAAAATCAGAGCGCGCCGAGGACCACCACCACACCACGTTGCCGCGAAATCTGCACATCGACGTGTGACCGCTCCGGTCTCGCGCGCTTCTCACAAGAAGTCGACTTTGGTGTGTTACACTTTTTCGAAAGGGTTCAACGTAACCCGAAGCTTCGTGGACAATCATCCCCGCTCAACACACCGCGTTTACGCCAGCATGTTTCCCTTCTCCAGTGGCACGGACTCACGCAAATGCACTTTCAACCAAGACCGCGCCAAACCGCAAGCCACAGCCACGTCACAAACGTATTTTCGCCGTTGGGAAATTCCCCCTCCCTTCATGTTCGACGACAGTTGTACACTTTTAAAGTTTGGCAACAGCCACTTTCGTTTTCGACGACAATTACAGCACATTCCGCAATCTGAAATCGCATTATTCCTTCAGTTTTGGGCACTTGACATTCCTTTCGTGCGAAAGCGGTGCGCCAAAACATTGAAATCGACATGTTCCCTCCGTTTTTGGTACTTGAAACGCATTTCGCGCGAAAGAGTCGCCACTGACAGGTTGAAGTCGCAATATTCCCATAGGTTTTGATATTTGACACGCATTTGGCGCGAAAGGGTTACCTCCAACACCTCTAGCCACGCACTTTGCGCGAAAGGGTTGCCACCAACGCCTTGGAATCGCAAAATAGTATTCCAACATGCATTTCGCGCGAAAGGGTTGCCACCGAAAATAAGAATTGCAATATTCTCACAGTTCTTTGCGTGACACTTGACACGCATTTCGTTCGAGAAGGTTGCATAGCGCGGCAGCTCGTCGGCACTGCCCCGGCCTAAAACAAAACAATTACCCCAGCATCGGCCCCAAACAGCAGCGGCAGTCGGAGTTTTCTTTGTTTGGCCGATCCATTCCTGGCGCCAAATCTCCGCCCAGCATCCAGACATGCCATGGGAGACAAGGAGGGACAAAGCAAAGTGACCCCAGCCCAGCATCCAGACACGCCATGGGAGACAAGGGAGACGAGGGAGACAAAGCAAAATCATCTCAGCACAGCATTCAGACATGCCATGGGACAAGGGG